GTTATAAACTAATTTGAGTTATTTTTTTATTTTACTAAAAAGATAACTGAATACATTTTGGCCAAGATTTATGTAGAAAGATTATTTATTTGCAAAATTTTATAAAGAAAAACACTTTTTTTCAAAATGTTTAGACTTTTTCATTTATATAGCAAAAAAAAAAATCCCAGTGGTGAATAAATACCACCAAAATAAAGTTTTATCTGTCTCAAAAAAATGCCAAAATATTCATATGGATACAGTGTTGCATGACCGTGCAATTGGCATTCAAAGTGTGACAGCACTAAAAGCTGAAAATTGGCCTGGACAGGAAAGGGGTAAAAGTGTCCGGACATGAAGTGGTTAAGATCCTCAGTCTGTTGGATTCCTTTGTATTCAGACATAGACAGCTCTGATCACACATCCAGTGTCATGCTCATGTGCTACCTCAGCAGCACTGCCCTAGGCAGAACCCTTGCTTTACATGAAGTCTCTTCCAAATCTGGACCAAACATGATTGTCCTTAATTGGGGTATTAAGCCACCTGTTCCAAACTTTCAGGAACTCTTTTCTTGCCAAAACTGGCACTCCCAGTGCCACCTAAAACATCTACATTGGTTTATCTAGTGCTCCTGTAACACCCAAGAAGAGTATTAAAAACAAAGGGGCATTACTTAAAGTGATTGTAAGGCTTGAAATTGTTTTTTAGTAAAATAATAAACATGCCATACTTACCTGTTCTGTAAAACAAAAGCAATAAACAGGGGAAGAAGGAACCAAAAGTCAATGCCAATAACGAGTAACATGGTGACTCTAGGTGAAGTAGCTTGAGAGGTAAGTCAGCATTTCCAACAATTCCACATCAACCTTGCTTGTGCAGACGTTTACAGGTCCAATGATGTTGGTCAATGAGGAGAAAAGAAGAGGTGAGGCCAAGGTAAAGCCAGTTAAAAACACATCTTCAAGTTAAAGTGTATGGTTATCAGTGACCAGTAGCCAAGCAGGGTACAGCATTGCATATTTGATGTTGAGTATATACAATATCTGTTTGGTCTCAATAAACGTAAAAGGATTGCAAAGGTTCTGATTTTATTTAATAATAACAAACATGTCATATTTACTTGCTTGCCTTGGTTTTGCACAGAGCAGCCCCGACCCTCCTCTTCTCCTGGCTCTTCTTCCCTACCAAGTGCCCCCATAGGAAGCCGATTCCTATGGAGGCACTTGTGCATGCACGATTCCGTGCTGGGATATGTAAATCTGTTCAGACACACAGACTGGCTCAGCTCCACCCCAGCCTTCACTCCGGCTCTCTGCTCACAGGCTTTGACTGCCAATTAGATTGTAAGCTCTAGCGAGCAGGGCCCTCTGTTTCCTCTTGTACCAAATTGTATTGTAACTGTAATGTCTACCGTCATTTTGTAAAACACTGAGCAAACTGTTGGTGCTACATAAATCCTGTATAATAATAATAATAGCTCCTACTGCTTTCATCCAAGCCTTTAAGAGCAGAGAGAGAGAGAAGAGCTACTGCTACAGATATGCACAGAATTGGGGATTGGGGGGGAGGCAGGGGGGAAAGCTACCATTAAAAGGTTTTTTTACCTTAATGCAGAGAATGCTTTATAACATCTTTAATTATGAAAACCTCTCCTCTTCCTGGTATAAAGTGTTTTTTTAAATATCTGCACTCCTACAGTTCAGCTTAATTTTAGTAGTTTTTGCTAATAGCCATAGGGACCTTCGTCTAGATCTGATATGGACTCTAGCTATAGTAGCAAAGTGTCAAATAAGCTACATTTGTTAGCCAAATTTTGAGCATACCAAATATGTTGGCAGTGCCCTCATTACTCAAAATATCTAATATAAGGTCCATGCTGTGATAAAGGAGGCTGCTAGCAGAAAGGTTGACACAAAACCCCTGTGAAACCATAGATATTCACCTGAAGCGTCACACAATCAGAATGCAACGATTAATCACAAAGTGTAGGAATTAGTCATATATTTATATAAAATGCAAAAATCAGCATAAATATAAATACATCAATCCTGCAGTGCAGTATAATATCACAATAAAAATTAAGTGTATATAGATTGCTCAAAAAGAATTAAAGGAACACTTTTTAATCAGAGTATAGCATCAAGTCAATTAAACTCCTGAGATATTGATCTGGTCAGTTAAGTAGCAGAGGGGGCTGTTAATCAGTTTCAGCTGCTTTGGTGTTAATGAAATTAACAACAGGTGCACTAGATGGGCAATAATGAAACAACCCCCAAAACAGGAATGGTTTTACAGGTGGAGGCCAATGACATTTTGTTCCCTACCCATCTTTTCTCACTGTTTTTCACTAGTTTTGCAGTTTTGCATTTGGCTAGGGTCAGTGTCACATGGTAGAATGAAGTGATACCTGGGCCCTACAGAGGTTGCACAGGCAGTCCAACTCCTCCAGGATGGGACATCAATATGTGCTATTGTCAGAAGGTTTGTTGTGTCTCCCAGCACAGTCTCAAGAGAATGGAGGAGATTCCAGGAGACAGGCAGTTACTCTAGGAGAGCTGGACTTGGCCATAGAAGGTCCTTAACCCATCAGCAGGACCGGTATCTGCTCCTTTGTGCAAGGGGGAACAGGATGAGCACTGCCAGAGCCCTACAAAATTACCTGCAGCAGGCCACTGTGTGAATGTCTCTGACCAAACAATCAAAAACAGACTTCATGAGGGTGGCCTGAGGGCCCTACATCCTCTAGTGGGCCCTGTGCTCTCTGCCTCACACCATAGAGCTTGATTGGCATTTGCCATTGGACACCAGAATTGGCAGGTCTTCCACTGGCGCCCTGTGCTTTTCACAGATGAGAGCAGGTTCACCCTGAGCACATGTGACAGACAAGAAAGGGTCTGGAGAAGCTGTGAAGAATGCTATGCTGCCTGTAACCTCATTCAACATGACCATTTTGGTCAGTGATGGTCCGGGGAGGCATATCGATGGAGGGACACACAGACCTCTACAGGCTAGACAATGGCACCCTGACTGCCATAGGTAACAGGAAGTAATCCTTAGACCCATTGTCAGACCCTATACTAGTGCAGTGGTTCTGGGTTCCTCCTGGTGCATGACAATGCCCAGCCTCAAGTTCCTGGAGGATGAAGGAATTGATACCACTGAATTGCCCCCACTCTCACCTGACCTAAATCCAATAGAACACCTCGGGGATATCATGTTTTGGTCCATACGCCACCACCAGATTGCACCTAAGACTGTCCAGGAGCTCAGTGATGCCCTGGTCCCCATTAGGAGCATGCCCCAACATTGTCAGCGTGCATACAAGCATGTGGGGGCCATACAAACTACTGAGTACCCTTTTGAGTTGCAGCAATGAAATTTCAGCAAAATGGACTAGCCTGATGCATTATTTTTTCACTTTGATTTTCGGGGTGTCTTTGAATTCAGTCCTCTGTATGTTGATAATTTTCATTTCCATCAAACGATGAAGCATCCTTACATTCCTAACACATTACCCAGTCCATATCAGTATAGATATCAAGCATGATATTTTTCCCCATTGAGCTCTGATGTGTTCTCAAAGTGTTCCTTTAATTTTTTTGAGCAGTGTATTTATAAAAGTGCATATAAAGTGCCAAAAAGGTACAAAAATGTCCTGAACAGTCCAAAAAATAACTACTAAGATTGTTGCCAGACTCTTCCCAGTGTAAAGAAGCACCAGCTACCACCTCATAAAATGAGCATTCACCAGAAAATGTGCTATAAAATGTGTAGCAAGCTCAGTATATCATCATAGGTAGGTGTCATCCAGGGGTAGCCAATACATATAAATGAAAAAAGACCAACAATTTTGAAAAAAAAAATCTATATTTTCTGCTTTCTGTTATAAAACGTATCCAATGAAATCAAATCTCTTCATAACTTTAGGCCAAAATGTATTCTGCTACATGTCTTTGGTAAAAAAAAAAATCCCAATTAGTGCATAATAATTGGTTTGTGTGAAAGATATAGCATCTGCAAACTATGGTATACAGTGGTGCTTGAAAGTTTTCATAGCCTTGGAGAATTGTTGCAATATGTACCATTTTTAAAGTAAATGTGTGAGTGAGCAGGCAAAACACATTTCTTTTATACATTATGGGATTCATATTCAACTGTAGGTCACAACAGACTAGCACAATCCAAAAAAAAAAACAAGTCAGCAAGTGAACAAATGAAATCACTCCTGTCGTCTTGCATGAACCGCTCATTTGAGATCTCCCCAGAGTGGCTTGATGATATTAAGGTCAGGAAATTGTGATGGCCACTCCCGTGCACAGCTTTCGTGCAGAAGAATGCTAAATGTCTACCAGTATTTTCTGATAACATGCTGCATTCATCTTGCCATCAATTTTCACAAAATTCCCCATGCCTTTAAAGCTTACACCCCCCCCCCCCCCCCCCAAACATTAGTGATCCACCACCATGCTTCATAGTGGGCATAGACCCCTCTCCAAACATAGAGCTTATGGTTATGACCATCAAGCTCTATTTTGGTCTCATCACTCCAGATTACAGTGCTCCAGAATCTGTGAAGCATGTCAAGGTGTTGTCTGGCATATTGCAACCAGGTTTTTTTATGACATTGTGGCAGTAAAGGCATCTTTCTGGCTATTAGACAACACAGCTCATTTTTGTTCAAGTATCATCGTACTGTGCTCCTTGATACAACCACAAAGTCTTTTTCCAGAGCAGCCTGTTTTTTTTCCTGAGGTCACTACTAATTACTATATATTACTAATGATACTGTTTTCATCAGCAAATTCTTGATAAAGGACTATAGCCAATATTTTTTGATTAAAATAGTATTATTAATACTAATCAGCATGGATTCCCATAAAGACCACTCTTGCCATACCAATTTAACATTCTACCAGGAAGAGAGCTGCCATCTAAATAAAAGAAGGTCTGTGGGTGTGGTGTGACTGGATTTTGCTAAAGAATTTGATACAGCCCCCCACAAATGCTTAACTTAAAGTCTGAGGCAGGGGCGGACTGACCATTTGGAAACTCGGGCACTGCCCGAGGGCCCGGGGTCAGTAGGGGCCCCCATGAGATGCCCCTGGTACCTTTTTCATAGGCTTTTTTGAGTTTGTACAAGGACACAGGGGCCCCATGATCCCTTATTGCCCAGGGGCCCCGTGAGTTCTCAGTCCGCCCCTGGTCTGAGGTCTATAGGCATGGACCATAAGGTTTGTTCATGGATAGAAAACTGGTTACAGGGGCATGTCCAAATGGTGGAGAAAAATAGCGTGTACTCAGAGTGGTAAGTGGCAAGTGGGGTACCCCAAGGCTCCTGTTCAATTAATTCATAAATTATATAGAGGTTGGTATCAATAGCTCAATCTCGGTGTTTGCTGATGATATGATGATACAAAGCTAAGCAAGGCCATAACTTAAAGTGTTACTAAATCCATAACAGTAAAATCAGTCTGTATATGCAGTAAAGCATGCTTGTTATACTCACTGTGAAACCTAAGGGGTTAATCCTCTGCATTGTGTAAAAAGGCTGTTTGATCTACTGATAGAACAGAGCTTTGGAGGCAAGCTGCACATTCTCAGTTTGTTGTGTATTCCTAGTGAGTTTTTTTTTTCCTTGGGAGGGTGCATGTGATCAGCACAGAGCCAATCAGCACTATCCAGACAGAGGGTCAGGGGTCATGCAGCCTCATAGGACAAACAGGGAAGAATGAAAACTCCTCCAACAAGCTTTAATTGATAGAAGTCACAAGACTGCTCTAACTGAAGATGAGAAAAGGTAGTTAGCAGTTTATATTTACTAAAATAATTGCATTTCCATGTTCTGCATTCCAGATACAGCTGGACAGGGTGATAAAGGAATTAGTGACATGTAATATGATCTTATATGCAAATAAAAAAGCTTATGATGATGCCCAGCAACAATAGAGCTAGTGATATCCAGATGTTTCGCAGTGAGTTGAGGTAGTGGTTCAATTGCAAGGGCAAAGAGTAAAGCTTACCATAGATAGACTTTTTTTTTCAATCAACTGGCGGGCTAAATGAAAAAAATGAATGGTTTCCTCCATCCATATGTAAGTTAAGTGCATAGAGGAATCCTCTGTGACATTGTATTCTGACAGCAGGAATCTCCCCTGTTACAATACACTGATCAGCAGCTGCAGCTGATCTAACAATGGCATATGGATCGTATTTCAGTTGATCCCTGCTGAGCCAACCAAATTTTGATCCATCTATGGCCAGGTTAAGAGGGACAGAGGGCAGCTGTGCCTAGTGCCTCTTAATACGGGGAATGGTGAACATTTAAAGCCAGCATACTGTATTTGACAAGGGCAGTGGCAGAAGAGTAAAGAGTTGTGAATCAATTGCAACTGAAACAATTGAGTACTCCATGATACTGCTGGGACCTTAAAGAACAGGGTACACCCCAAAAGCTTGTCCTGAAAAATTGTATGCTAGTGCAAATAAAAAAAGGAACATGGATAGTGCTCAATTGTTTCTGTCACAGGTGTATTAATACGGCTACAACCACCTGAATATATTACAGAATTGTAATCTAAACAGGGGCGGACTGACAACTCATGGGACCCCCGGGCAATAGGGGATCATGGGGCCCCTGTGTCCTTGCCCAAACTCAAAAAAGCCTATGAAAAAGGTACCAGAGGCATCTCATGGGGCCCCTACTGACCCCGGGCCCTCGGGCAGTGCCCGAGTTTCCAAATGGTCAGTCCGCCCTTGAATCCAAATTTTGTAAAATGTAAAATAAGCATGACAAGGAAAGGGAATCGAAAACTTTTTTCATTTCCAATTGATGTTTGTTACTGTACTATACACAGTATGTTGTTTCATAGGTTGGCCCCTGCATTTCACTGAAATCAGTCTGCTTTCATACAGGTACTTAACTGTTGTGACATTAATCAATCAAATTGGAAATGTAATGTTAGTAGGCCTGCAGATGTATTGACACATTGCAAGAAAGTTCAGTAAAGAACAATCATTATGTGACAGTATGAAAAGTATGAAAAGTTTGCATATGTAATGAGCTAATATGGATGTCTTCATATATGTATAAAATTACACATTGAACAAGAAAAGAGGTTCTTACATTAAGACACTCTGATATGATTATTCTATTTTGCTGATCACCTACACGATACATATAGAAAAATATAATAAAAGACTGCAGTTTATAGAGAGAATATGTAAGTATACATAAGTAGAAAGTATATAAACTGACTCTGACATCCCAACAAATCTGTCAGAGTTTGACAACTTTGATTCAATGTCGTTTTTTTTTTCTTAATTGTGGTAATACAGATTCAGAAAACAGCAACAGTTTGTAAAAAATGTAGGATCCCTGGACATAAGAGGAAATTATTTAAGCTTCATAACCTTACTTTTATTAATTGTGGATATCAACATAATAGGAAATAAGAAGAAATCCTTAAAATGAAATGTATTTTTGATACTACCTTACCAAGTACAACTGAATATCTCAGTGTAATACTTCAAAGATATTCGCCTTGAAGACCAGCAGCATTTGAGTTCTACCACCTGCCATCAGTTTTACCATTTCACATTTTGCAGTAAATTAAACTCTTACAGGGAATCAGACTACCACTGTCTCTTATGACTGACATATATTAGACTTTAGGTGGACCATACTTCACTTGAAGTTTAGTACATTTAACTTTTATTCAACTTCCATTTATGCGCCTATCCAAGCAATTGTTTAAATTAATATAAAAAGAAAAATAAATCTTAATGACTTCTCCATACTCAGAGTTTCTCAATACAAAGTCCAGTCTTCTTTCTTTGGATGTCTACTGTTAATCATTCTTTTTAATGTATAACTGAAAATTGCAAAACACATAAATCCGTCAACGAAGTTAAAAAAAAAAAGAAAATTACATGTTTCAAAATTTTAATTTAGTTCACAGTTTAAACACACATTTAACTTTTTGGCTTTTTTTAAGTTTGTAAGATGAAAAATGCTATGATCCAGGTAAAAAAAAAACATATATGCTTTAATTAATGTACAATACAACGTGTGAACTAATGTAGCGTGTATACCTAAAGCTTAATATAGAATAGCTTACTTAACCCAAGAGAAAAGGTACTGCAAGGCATTACAGGACAAGGAATGATCCATGTGTAGGAGACAGCCATAAACAGCAAATACTATGGCCCCTGTCTGGGAGCTCAGTATGATTATTATGCCTCTTTCCCTCATCTTCACTGCAAACCTATAATTTCACTGCAGATCTAAAACTAAATAATGACAACCAAATTAAGCAAAAGAGTCAAAAACATAATTCTTTTTCATTCATTTGTTTTTTCTGAGGAAAATGATCCAAGATACAATTCAGAATTTATAGTTTAAACCAAGACAGCAAGATATTCTGGCCCTGGGGAAGCAAAGTAGGCCCAAGCCATGATACTGCCACCACTATGTTTCACAGATGGGATACAGTAAACCTGTGCCCAGATTAAAATAAAGTATTTACATATTCTGAACAAGCAGTAAAAGCACTTTAAAATGAGTCCTCAATTATTTTTTTTATCTATAAATACTGTGAAGAGATTAACCACTTCCTTTCCACAGGACATTCCCGTACATACTTGGATGGTAAGAGTGATATCTCTGTCATCGTTGCAGCTACAGTAATGATCGAGGAATACTTTATTTTAGGGTCAGCGACTCTGCACAAAATAAAAGTATTTCAAGCAGCTATAGAAATGCTGGATTTACAGGACATGGAAGGGACCCCCTGCTACCGCCACCCCCCGACCATATGCTTTCTAAGACACAGTTAGAGGAGCTAATGTTGTTCCTCCCAATATGTAACATCAAAAAACTGGAAGTGACAATAATTTTGCCACTTCTGAATTTGGTCACATGTAAACAAGCCATTGCTGACTTGTGAAAGCAACTGATTGAACCAATCTCCCTGCCATCAGAACACATTGATAAACTTTGCTGATTGGTAGATCGACTTCTGTGCAACCAGCCTGCCCAAACATGGATTAAAATTCAGCCGGTCAATGCTTAATGCCTTAAAGCTTCTGTCAGCCATGATTTCTAGCTGAGCCATACCGTCAAGGCTGGAAATGCACACAATTTAATTACAAAAAGTAACCATTTTTGAGACCATGTTGAGGGGAAGAGATTTCAGTGACTGCTCTAGGCTTCAATAGAGTAGCAGACTCCAGCAAGAAGAAACAGGAGCAATGCTGGAGGCAATTTACAGCACACACTAATTTGGTAGGATAATTATTAATGTGAAACGTATGTTCTTTTGCATGAATGAATGTACAGTATGTTCTATAGTGTTAATTGCTATTAAGCTGTTATGGGTAAAGTTAGGAAACTGGCAGTAATTAAGACCAGTCCTAAACTGGAGTACAGAGGTATGCCAGTACTCAGAATGGAGCAAGTCTGTGCTGGGAAGCTGTCATGTATGTGACAGCTACCTGCACTGTACAATATCCCTGGCCAAATACAAATAAATGGAAACAAAGGGGCTGGGGATACTGGGGATGTCAATACCCAAATATGGCAATGAGAGACTGTGAGATTAGTTTCCAACCAGGTCTGCTTTAGTTTTTTTTTTAATCTCTAAGAACTTTTATTGAGCAAGTAAAATAAGCAATACACAGTCCAGAACATACACATCACTCCAAAGAAATACAGATCTGAATCTAATATGGAGTAAAATTACACCAGGAGAGATGAAGAATCATCCATCAAAATATAAAGGTAGACAACTAGACATAGCAAGCAAGAAATATCTACCCCACATGGATAAGTAAAGAAATACAATTCAAGTCAACCATCAACATTGTAATAGGTGGTCCACAATACTGGGGCTAGTTCTGGGGTAGCCAATCATGGTGTCCAGAGCTTATCAAATTACCAAAACACCCTCTATGTTGATAAATATATTTTTCAAGCCATAGGGTTTCGCCCATTTGGGATATCAATAGCTAGGTATTTCCTCAGCAGAGTGATCACTTAGAATATCCAACAAATATTGTTGGTTCTTCATGCATTTGTACTGTTACATTTGTAAAAACCTAAATAACAGTGGCTATGACCCCTTGCCAATAAAGGTGTAGTTTTGGGCACCGCCACAATAGATGGATTAGATCTTCATGATCCCTACTTCATCGGATATATGTAGGGTTCTCTATATAGTCTTGTAGGCATATACTCCCATGCTATATAGTCTTGTAGGCATAAAGTGTACCCTTAAAAGTAACTATAACTGTGACAGG